GTGCTATATATATATTGTTTTGCTGGTTTTATTTGGTTTAAAGACTGTTTTATCTGAGAGGACTAGCTGAGGAGCAGCTCCGGGAGCAAAGCCCACCTGCAGAAGACAGCAAACTGTCCACTTATACCAAAGTTCTGTCAGTGTACTGGCATCTTAAGGCAACTATTTACATCAGCATTTAAAATTATAAACAGTGGCTGGCACCCTGATAATAAGAGTACAGTAAATAAAGTAGAGTTTCATTGGGAGAGATTCTGTGGCATGTCTTCAGGAGGCACAGCACAGAAAACACTGTCTGGGGAAGACTGAGGCTATGATCAGTAGAGAAGGTATAAGTTTGGTGGAAGCTACTCCTGGCCCACCCACTGCTGCCACCTCTGTTCAGGGTGCAAAAACTGCTTGTTACACTTCTTACTATGATGGTTTTATGCTGTCATGTCTGCATTCTCCCAATCCTCAATGAAAAAAGAGTCCCTTTAACATACGATGCATCAGATTCATAAACAATCCTTAAAAATAGCCCTTTCAAGTGATTTTTATCCCTTTGTCTGTGCAGCAAAGGCAGTGGAAGAACTACAGTGGCCATCTCAGGAATGTCTATTACAGCAATACTTGTAATGTCAATGGATAGCACAGGTCATCCATCAATATCACTTGACAGTTGTCAGATGATTGTTAGTGGTGTTGAAGTTAAGTTGCATGGGAAAAACAGGTAAGTGCAAAATATTTTATCCATTCCCATAGAAATTAACAGAGTTGATGGCACAAGACTGACTTGCCAAAATTAGGCATCCAATGCCTCTCTTAAGAGTCTTCTACTAATAGGGGTACTTAAATGTAAGACCCTAATCCAGGCTTTCAAGTGTGATGTTAGCCTTCTAAGGCCCCATTTTCAAAATCCAATCTTACTGTATGTGGGTATAACATGGGCTATTTGTGCACATCATACAAACTCTAGGATGTAAATTGTTATGCAAGTGATAGACCTTAAATACACAAACTCTGGTATGGCTGAAGAACTGCTAGTGCTACTTCAACATTGTAGTATTCATTACTTTGCAAATGAGATCCTAATCTTTAGCCCAAGGTGAGAATGAGATGTCTTAAAACTCTCCTTTGCTGGGATGCTTACAAAAGAATTTAGCAGCATTTATTAGTCTCCTGATATGCTGAGATGGTTGCCTGTCTCACTAACCAGTAATGTCTCATGGTTTCCTTGTACTTCCCCATCTGTATGCATCTAGCTGTTGTGCTGCTTACTTCAGATTATAAACTCTTGGGGACAAGGACTGTCATTCTGTTCTGTGCTTTTACAGTACCTTGCACAATGGGTATCCTTGCCTGAGACTCTGGTTTCCAGGTGCTACAATAAAACAACAACAATACTGGTAATTCATAAACAAGCTTCCATGCAGCTGGAAGTAATTTAGTTGCCCAATCTAATCTCCAGTGCTTTGCATTTTTACAACTTTTAGAGCACAGAGCATTGAAATTTATTTCCATTCAGAAGGTGGATTTGTCAGTTATAGAAAGGTCCTACACGCTGGCATTATCCCAGTACAGACATCTTCAGTGATATTAGATTTTATGCAAGGCCGATTTATACAGAAGTGTATTAGAACATGTATCATTCAGTTAATGATGACAACACTCAGCCAGCTGAAGCACTGGTCAAGTCATTTCTGTTCTTTTCTTCTGCAGCTGGTTCTATAATATGTTTACTAAATTCCTCGAGAAGTCCATCCGCAGGATCTTGCATAGTAATGTAAGTCTTTGCAGTTGCTTAAGGGTAGGTGTAAAGGATATCTAAAACTGCATCATCTCTAAAGTCACGGTCTTGAACTTGGTTAAGGAGTAACCACATCACACCGCCTGATTCTGGTCTGATCAGCACCATTATCACTCATTCCAGCTTCCAATGAAGTCTGTAATCCAAAATGACAATAGTGACATTGATCGATATGAAGCTACCACATCCCTGTGGCTGAGCTCCATGGAGGGACTGTAAAAGAGGTTAAAAGTTGGTGCTGGAGTTTGTATGATGACTGGTTATTTTTCATTCTCTTACTGAATAAATCTGTGGCTATGTACCTAAAGGCATAGTGACTGTCAGCTATACAATTGCAAGCATGCCACAGGAGGGACATAACACAGGAACTTGTATCATAAACATAAGTCGGTTCCACCTGAGACAAGAGAATTGGCTCTGGCTGCTGAAAGCATTAAAATCTAGGCTATGCTGTTTGTGGGAATGCTGCTAGACAGTGAGAGGAGCGCAAGACATCTACAGTGCAATCAGAGATATTATTGCAGCACATATAGATATGCAAATTATTTTTAATCTGTCTAGCTCAGTTAGCAGTGGACCCAGAATCATGCAGGCATCAGTGCCTCCTGTTTCAAGCCTGCCAGGGGCCTTGTATACTCCTCCAGTAGCTGAAGTATGTGGTGCCATGGCTTTACTATTATTGGTATCACCAAGTTAAAGCAAAGTTAGTATGTCTACACATGCAGCAACCCCAGTGTCAGTTGAAGTGCAGACAAAATCCATGTCAGGCAAGCAGATCTGACTTACCATCTGCCAAAGAGTGAAGGGCATAAACCCATACTAGCCAGTACATAATGTCTTCATATTTTTCTACAGTCATGTCCAAACCTCAGGCAGGAGATTGAAATAATCGATACGGAGCTCCGAATACTGCAGAGTGAGTTTCTGATGCTCCCTTTTCTTTACATTTCCTGTCTCTTGCTGCCCATATACTGCTTGACAAAATGAGTGACGTAATCCTCATAGTTATCTAGTCTTACATCCCTTCTAGTTCCTCAATCACAGAACACAAGTTAGCAAAGAAATGATGCTTGGATGACAAAAGTGCATGTCTAAGAAGATATGCAGAACATGCAGATGAGGCATACTTAACTGTGCACACCTTTCCCTGGCCTGCCTGATGCTGCTAGCTAAGAGTAATTGGGGAGCCAGATGGCAGTCCCATGCTATCTAATGCAAGGTTCCCTTCTGGCTAATGCAGAATTGCCCTCCCTTTTCAATCCTGCTCATTTACCATGTGCCCACCTGTGCACTCTGCAGAGGCCTTATCTTGGCCTTTCTGAGAATTTTGTCTTTCACTTCTTTGCTTACAGGAAGTGCAAAACACAAAGGAGAAAACTCAGTGGAAAACAGTGCATCAGAGTAAGCACTTCAGGTCAGAGTTTCAAAAGTACTGAGATGCTTACAGAAATGCCTAGTGAGATTTAGAGACATGACTGAGCAGGTTAATTGCAGCCAATGAGAAGTACCACAGTCCTGGGATGCACCCAGAACTGATTGCCAACTTCAGGAAATAGTAACAGCTGCTTCCTTTCATAAGTACAGGTACATACATTTCCTTGTTTGAGACCGTACTGCTTCCCACAAGAGTGCAACTTCAGTGCTAGGGAAAACACTGGGAACTTTAGACCTCAATCAGTTTTGATTAGCAGTGTTTGCAAAGGAAGCACCTTGAGTTCTCTATTTCCTCCTCCTATTGACCAACTGGGTTTATTTTCTTCTCCAAGAACTGGTCTGTTTTTAATTAAACACAGCTGGCAACAGTGCACATCAGTAATAATGCCTGTTTTGTTTTGCCCAATGCCTTTTCAGTCCTAATGCAGATTGATGACTTTGCCCAAATAGACTACTCCCTAGTGACATCTCCAGCAGTCTTCCAATCATACATTGATCTTGACTTACAGGTAATTGCCTTTTAACAGTAAGTACCTAAAACAATTCTTGATACACTTCTGATCCTCCCCTAGATTGGTATGGTTGCTTTCGCTTCAATATTAAAAATGAATCTGAGACTCATCAAATCAGTATCTCATGGGGTCATATTCTATTGTAGAAATCAGGCCTGGCTATAAAAAGAGTTAGTTACTAGTTGCAGTGAGTTGGGAGCCATAAGAAGAGTAGAAAAGAGGGAAGCATGGGACTTGTCCACCTGTCAGTTGATTTCAACAGGAGTTATATGCACACAGCTGGCTGAATGCTCAGGCCACCAGAGTAAGAGAGTAACAGAATATGTGAGAGACCACACTTACGAGGTAAAGATTAAGCAACAGACCCAGACTGCAGTGAGAAAGAGAGAGAGAAGTCTGGAGAATGCTACTGAGACTAGAGACCCTGGCAGTTTCCTTCCACTAAAGGAAACCTAAGGGGAGGCCCACCTTCCCTGGCTGTTGTGATGATTATTAAGATTTTGTTTTCGTACCATGTAAAGTATTAAAGCAATTTACTTGTGGGTATATGTTGTTATCATCATCATCATCATCTCCCCACCTTGGAGCTCTAGCCATGAACCAGATCCCACAGAAATTTATGGCCCTGGCCCCTGCCCCAATGACTTTACAGCTGAATGTTAGATAAAAGGCAACGAGTGGATACAGACAGACAAGTAAATAGAGAGACACTAATGGTCTGTCTCAGGAGCAGTGGTCTTGACATACAAGGCATCCTGGAGAATTTTAAGGAGGGGTTTGAAGGTGGATAATGTGATCACTTTGTAGACATTTATGAGAAGCTCCTCCCAAGTGCAAGTATGAGAGAAATCAAAAAGCATCTATTTGAATATTTAGCGTGTGGTAGAGGGTGACATCATAGGCTGATCAGAAGCAGGAAGTGAATGAGAGATAAATAAGTGGGGATGGCCTAAGATCTTTGAGAATGAGGCTGTCTCTGATGTGATGGAGAAAGGGGAGCCAGTAGAGGCATGGAGGGGGCTTTAAACTCCTAAATATCTTACAATTTTTAAAATCAGTTTTGTTTTGATTTTTAAAATGTTCACCTGGATCTTTGTCTCTTAAATGTTCTCATTTCCAAGTTTCAGAAATATTGACAGTTTCAAAGTTTCAAACCTTTACAGTTTTGTCCCTGGCTAATGTAATCAGAGCAATAGTTAATTCAAACGTATGTGGTATTTCCTAGAGTACTTTTCCTTTCTAGACTGACTGTCTGTGCCCCTGGGCCTGCACTGGCTACTAGTTTATTTCTGGATAGAATTCAGATTTAATTTTGATCTGTAAAGCTCTCTGGAGCTTTGTCTTGGGTCATGTCAAGATTGCACACTTACCATGCTCGACAGCACTGCCCTCAGGTATCCCTCGCAACCCTATACATGCTTCCCTTAGACCAGAGGCATGGTATCCTGGCCTTTGCCCATAGTGCCAAAGGAAAATACTAGCTAGCCCTGCTGGGAATCAGTGCCAGTCATCTCACCCTTCGTGCCATACAGACATAGCTGCACTGCTTCCAGGCTGGGAGATAATATATAGGCATGTTTGAGGGCGGTGCTGCCAGGCACAGTAAATGTGAAGTAGTAACATGGGCTTAGAGACCATTTCTTACCTTATTGCACCATCCTTGCAGTTGAGTTCACTGGGTGGATCTTGATAAAGGTTCTTATTTTGAATTCCTGTGAATGAAAACAAGGGCCAAGGTTTTTAATAATAATTAGCAACAGCCTAAAGCCAGCGTCTTTAATAAATACTTAGGCCCTGACATAAGAAGCCTGTTTCCTAAAGTGCTGAACATTAGACAGCCCTTGGTGGCTTCAGTGAGTGCTCAGCATTTGGGTAGCCATGGGTGTTCTCTGTGGACTGTTCTGTGCTCCGGAATTGCTTTCCACCATTGGTTCAAAAGAGAGGAAACTGTCTGGCCTTAAGCAAGGCCTGTCTGCTTATTCAGATTCTTCATGAGCAGGTTGAGTTTCTCCTGTGAGCCAGAAAAGAGGGAGAAAGGGACATTTTTATGGTGAAGGCTGTAAGTGTACCCAAAGATTCTGAGAGATGGTGGTTTCATAAATAACAATACTTTGCAGGGCACAACCTATCCAGTTGGAAACTATCCTGCCCACCCCTATGTGCCTGTTCCCTTTGCTCTCCAAGACAGCAGTAACTCCATGCTCTACCTTGCAGTATCAGAGTATTCCTTTCAGACCACTGCATTTGCATATTACACAACTGGGGCTTTTGACATCATCATCACGGATGAGGTGAGTACAATTTGCTGAAGAGGGTATTAAAGATGTTCCAGATGCAAGACATTCAGAGATCCAGGAGAGTTCTCTGAACTCTTGCCAGAGAACTGACCAGTTAGTAGTAGAGCTGCAAACTCACTATTAACCAAGCCATATAGTTCTATGAGGGTAGTCCATAATGCTAATTATATGTTGCCCCATCATACGATACTTGGGTTTCTCCAGCTGTATTTGAGGTGAAGGGTACCACTGAGCAAGGTACAAAATGGGAGCAACTTACCCAAAAACATAACAAATGTCACCAATCTGGCCCAGATATTCTTTCAAAAATAAGGTGACTCATGGTGAAGACTGCTGCCTCTCTGCCAGTTTTCTGAGAGGTATCTGTTGACTTAAAAAGGGGACCCCTAAAACTGGTGCTATTGAACAGACAATACCACAAAGTACAGCAGCTTTGCCTCTAGCTGGAAACTCAAGCAGAGTTTCCTGTCCTGTTTCCAATAATTCCAAGTATCCCAGCAGGGGTCAGACTACAAAAGAGAATATTGCACCTGTATTTCTGTGGAACCTTTAAATTTCACTTTTCCAATAACTGCTTTTAAACATTAGTGGGAGTTAACTGAATGCACAGGGACTCCTCCAAGGATAAAAAGCACTATATCAGAATATAATAAAATGGCAGAAAAGTACATGTTTAAAGAAATATTGGATGTGAAGATTATGCAAAACGAGCTCAATTCTCTTTTTTTTTTGCAGGTTTGCAGTTATTTTAATATAACTACAGAGACATTTGGCAGTATCATTCCTGAGGTGGGTATCTTTATTCTCATGTACCTTTAAGAAAGCACAGTGCTTAGTCTCACTGTGGGGGGTACCTGAGTATTGACTGAGTTCCACAGGTTTGATGGAACCAGTGGGATTCACCATGGTGGAGAAGTGAGATGATTTGCAGCTGCTAAGAGACAAGTCCCAGTTAACTCTTTCCCTGGGTGCGTTCTGTCTTGCCCCTCATGTGCTTGACTTGCTTCACTTCACTGCTGCCTTATGACTAACCAGAGAAAGGCTTCATCTGTCTCCGAAGAAGATGGTGATGAAGAACTGGTAATGAACATTTATAAAGTGGCTTAAAGCAGGGAAACGCAGCTAGTAAGTGGGCAGGAAATATGACTTTCTGCCTGTGTGGGGAAGGAAACATCTTCTAACACTTGCAAGGGATCTACAGAAAGACAAGGGAGTTGGGTGCAGTCTCATCTGGATTAACTGAGGGAGATGGATAGATCAGGTGGGCACGTATTGCTCCTGCTGGTCTGGAAAAATAGTCTGATGGTTGGAATATGGTCCTACAAGATTCCATGTCTTGAACAACAAACACAGAGAATGATTCTGATCAGTCACAGTGCTCTTGGTGTTGAATGTCCCTGTTTTATCCAAAATGGCAGTAGTTTCTACCATCATATACCAAATAATCAAGCTCTCAAAACAAATATATCCTCACCTTATTAATCTATCTGCCAAGTGTCATCCCCATGGAGGCTCACAGACTAGCTTGCAGTCTTGTTTGAATGCCATATTCATGATTCCTTTCTCTGTTGTATGGTTACAAGCCAGAATGTATCCCCTTTAAAGGTGATCTGGTTTTGATGGGAATGGAGCTTCCAGGAATGGAGAGGGCTTTCCTCCACATTTCTGATATGGCAAAGCTCATTAATTTATAATTGTATGAGTCATTTCTATTCCCCATTGTCTTAAAGATGCACTAATGTGTTAGTATGTGATCTAAAACTCAGTCATCAGAAACTGCCTCAATGGTGCACCTTCAGAGAATGGCAAAGTTTCTTACTAAGATATGTTCTACATAAAAGCACCTTTCTGGCTCTTTTTTTTCCTTTGCCTTGCAACTTTACAGGTTGCCCAGTATTACGCAGAATCACAGCCAGTGATGTTGAACCTAACGGCTACCAAAACACCTGTGATCAGTTTACAGACAGATGCCTTTACTATTGAGATCCATGGCTCCATGGAGGTTCTGGCTGTCCTGCCAGATGCAACCACCCAGTCCCTGTTTACAGTGAACATAGTAAGTGCCTGGATCACAGAATTACATTCAATCTGGGGGCTTTTTCCACACTGCCAGATACCAAGGAGTTTGAAGGCCCTAAAAAAGACCAAACCCTGCCCATAAACAGGACAATTCCATTCAGTTTTGTCAGGCGTTGACCATACATGTCCAGTGGCCCAATCTGCCCTACCGGGCAATCTTATCGGGAAGAGAAATTTTTTAATTGACCTTGATTGCCCAAAGCTTAGTGCTCCAGAATTTCTTGTTATACAGAAATGGGTAGGGTCCTCTCGCATCTGTTCTTACCATTGAAAATATATTTGATTAATGAAATTTCTGTTATCCATACTTCAAATACTGTTGGTGACATTCAGCTAATTAAGGATGTACTGTGCATTACTCAGGAAGAATGCATCTTCTGTATGAGAAAACTTTAAAACTTAGCTAAAGAGATGGAGCTTGTGCATTTTAAATTATATAAAGAGACGGTATTTGTGTCTGGAAGGATTCCATTCTTGGTATATGGTAACCTCAGGCTTTTCTCTCCTGCAGACAACCAATAGCAGCATCAGTCTGACTTTATTTGATCAGAAGCTAATCGGCTCATTATGTCTGAACAGGTAACACACAACACCCTGACCTGAGGCTGTTTGGGAATCGATATAAGCCCAACATTAGACCCAACAGGACTTTTTAATACCAGCAGGGCAGTTAGTCCTGTATGAGGAAAGGACACACCACACAGTTTACTTTCCTCCTCGTGTGAGCAGAGGCAATGAGATGCCTTTAGCCACATTGCCCAAATCCTGAAGATGAAAAATGATGACAGCTGGGACCACTGGAGCTCCATCTGTTGCTTTGTTCTGTCTCTTTCTTTAGGGAGCAGGGTAAAGAGCATTCTAAGAAACTGTGTTTGACACTGTGCCCCTGGATAACCACCTCTCAGGCTGCCTTCCTGTGCACGTTCCATGTGAGACGGGCTAGTTGGCAGTGACCTGGCCCAGGGGTTTTGAAAGGGCAAAAGATGATTGGAGGACTTGGGATTCCCTTTCCGAACCAATCGGGCCCCAGAGACTCACCCCCCCCGTGTCCCAATTGGTCCCTTGGGTCACCTGGAGGGGGATAAAGGGGGCAGCGTGGGCTGACTCGGGGGAGAGATCAGCAAGGGACAACAAGGAAGGAGCTTCACAG